TTTGACTAAAACGTAAACATGACCTACATCAATTTGTTTCACAATTGTCGACTTTTGTCCCAAAAAGTAATTTAGTATATCTCGATAACCATCATGTTCACCTCATTCTAAACATCACTGCCACCCTCTAAGTACTTTTTGAATTACACTGTGACTGATCAATTAGATATTCTGGTTGCCAGTAAGCTGTAAAAATTATTTAAAGTCGTAGGTTTTTGAAGCACGAATACTGCTABAGCGTCCGCCATTTTGTTTTTGGGATTTTCGCGCATGCGCACGCGTTTTTAAGCCGTGTCTGCATAATCCGTGATATATATTTATTTTAATCAAGTAATTATACAAAGAAAAATTTATTTATTTATTTAAGGTATAGAAAAACCATCGACTAACACGGTAAGTGACTTAAATGATGCTCTTTTGAAAGAAAAGTTCGAGTTGACATCTTATAGGTTTTGTTCTCTCTATGTATCATGGACAGTTTTATTTTGATTGACTTAAGCCTAGAATTGACTTCCTTTCGATGATGGATGGCATCTTGGTTCCTCCACAGGGAGCCCAATTTAGGTTAAAGTGAATGGTGAAAATAAAATCGGAAAAACTAAATAATTAATTATCTTTTTAAATTCGAGATCAAGATAATGTCCTCTGTAAAAAATGCACTAGAACATTTTTTTTTTCCTTTTTCGCGCGCGCCTTTGTTTTCCTATATAATTTCCCTATGGTATCAGATGTTGATCTCATGTATATATACTCTGAGTATATACGCTTATTTCAATAAAGTTAGTCACCTGAAAACTTATAAAGCTGAGGCCTACAAGGATTATGGGTAGATTCATTTTACGCGATCAACCGCTTTGAACTGTTGATGGACTTGCGAATCTTTTACCGGTTACAGTCTCACCTCTCCTGAGCATCATCGAGCTGCAGTTTGTATTAAAAAAACTTTGTATATATATGCTTTTGTGATATGAAGAGTTTCCCATGATGGTCAGTGGTCTCAGCTTTTTAGGTTTTTGGTGACTAACTTTATTGAAACTGAAGTGTATACATGAGATCAGCATCAGATACCATAGGGAAATTATATAGGAAAACACAGGCGCGCGCGAAAAAAAAAATGTTCTAGTGCATTTTTTATTGATTTTTTTGCTCTTTCGCATTACAGAGGACATTATCTTGATCTCGAATTTAAACAAATAATTAATTATTTAATTTTTCTGATTTTATTTTCACCATTCACTTTAATCTAAATTGGGCTCCCTGTGTTTCCTCAATACCCAATGAATGTTCAGTTGCTTCATTTTAATCAACTTCCGCTTATAACATGATGAAGGTTGATGTAAAAGAATGATAGATTACTTGTGTAACCAGTGTCGTAATTTAGATCTAATAAACCACGCGTTATAATTCAATTCAAAAGCCTACGGCAAAAACTCGGGAATTATTCATAACCTATTACAGGTCACGAGTATGTCCCTTCATCAGAAATTATAGTTCGATAGTGCGGTTTGTGGTTTTCGACACCGCGATATGCACTGTCAGTCAATACAGGCTCTCATGTTGAAGGGACCCCGAAGTACTTTAGGTATTACTTTACATAATAAACTAAAACTTTACGTAAAAATTGCCAAAAAGGATAAATATTTACGGGTGACGAGTCTGGACCTTCATCATAAATTTTGGTTATAATGATTTTTTTGGACAAGAATATTTGCTGTCAGTACAAACAAGCTCTCCTGTTGATGGGAACCCTGAAGTACGTTATGCATTATACGATACGAATGATTCGAGTGCTGTAAATATTAAACGCCTGGAGTTGACCACTAATTGTCATTCGTAGGGCATACTGTAAAACATGGACTAGACATGAATGTGTTTAAAGGTCATATATAAAGCAGTGGCCATAAGATCATAAAAGTCAGGTACATCTTTATCAGTACGTATACCAGTTTATCATGATCAATAACATAATAGCCCATCAGYCCATCATGCATTGCATTGAATTAAAGTAAAGTTGCACAAGAACAACACAACGTACGTAACAGTCCCTATCATGTATTTGTATGTTGAAATATTAATTTATTGTTTAACCGATGCGGCGTGGTTCGTTTTTCATAAAAATGTAAATCCCAAGCTTATCACATGCTGCGTTTTAGAACTTTTATGTTCCAAAGACTATATTAAAAAAAGGTTGATGAAGTTTTTGTTGCATTGCATGTCGCATAGCAGGTCCAGATCGCGAAATACACAATGGGCGATGTAAATACAAACAGCGAAAGGTAACAACAATATGGAATGTCAGCACGTTTTTCCGGCATATTTCGTGCTGATTTTTTAAAAGTGATCCACAAAACATTTCCATCGTCGGTATGCAGCATGCAAGATGCAAGTTGCAAAAACGTTTTTTTTGTGAAATGGGATGGTGAGGATAGGGAGGTTAATCTGTAAGCTTATTTTTCTTATTTTACTGTCGACTTTGTCCTTAATTACTTCTTCTAACAATTTCAGTTCCTTCGTCGTGTAAAATATATCCTGGTAAAAATATTACAGTTATTGAAACAGACAACGTGTCACTAAACGTCACCACCACAGGAAACCCACCTGTTTATGAGTACATCTGGACTCATCCTAATGGAAGTAGATTGACCGCCAATAGCAGACTGACATTTACAGCCTCAAGACAAGATACTGGGACATACAAGGTGTCTGTGTATAATGGTGTTGGTGATAGGAGTATTTGCAAACGCCACATCACTGTACAATGTAAGTAATAATGCATGTAATATCAGTTATTAGACAGTATATTCTTTGATCGTAATTGGTGTACGTTTATCTCTTACCTTAATCTCTTGTGGATCAGTCATTGCTGTGTGAACACACTAACCAGGACCAGTTAACAAAATTTAAGATATAAAAAGACTTTAGCCAATCAGCAGAGAGCAATAGCAGTATCATATTGCCCTCAGCCAATCACAATCACTTATTCCAATGGTTGTTGATAACTTCCAAGTTTTTTCTCAAATGTATATATGCTTCACTGATGATTTGTTCAAGTTTGATTGGTGTTGAAGATGAGGCACACTTCCTACTAAGATGTTCAAATTATATTGTAGAACTGAAGGAAAAATCTTCTGAATAAGATAAAGGAGACAGCAAACTTTAAAGTAGAATGGTTAAACGAAGAAGAGAAATTCAATTTAATCATAAACCCCAACAAACCAATCCAAAAAATAGTAGCTAAATATATATATTACTGTTTTTAAAAGAGGGATAATCTAGAGCAATAAAATCTTTGACAAATTTAACTTATCAATATTTTGGTGAAAGAAGAAAAAGACATATATAGATCGATGGGCGGCGATCGCTGATACTGCTATAAACAAGAAGTCAATATATATTAGTTAATTGAATTATTCTATATTTTTATTGGCAACAATCCAATGTAAATATGTTGATACGGAGCCAATAAAATACGCTGTCGTCGTCCTTATCGATTCCATTGTTTACAGGGGCGTAGTTAAGGGAGGGTTCCAGGGATTTCGGA